GGTACCCAACCCTTCAGGGTTCCAGTACTCATTGGACTAGCTAGATTCTGTCTTTAATAAACCCTCTAATGGAAAATGATTCAGAGCTTTGGTTAATAAAATGCCATAATATGAAAGAAAATGAGTCGTTCATGTTAGTAATTGCCTAATGGAACATCATCCAAAACAAAATAGAAATGGACTGTCCCAAATACCGCTGCTATTCCTTAGTCTTTGGGGCTATTTGTAGGAGGAACAAGGAACTTTCCAATTACCAATAGCAGAAGGGCAGGATGTAACGACCTCAAACAGTGACAATCACAGACTAGCCGGTAAAAGAGACCAAATCCCCCTTTTCTCAAAGCTATTGCTAACGGAGAACTGGGAGAGTGGGAAATGGTCAGCATACCACATAAGATGGCTTGGAGACAGACCGGTGGGACTAGGGACAGTAAGGGTAACAATCATGTTCAACAGCCCCTCAAGAGATGGGCAGGCAGGTTGCTAGTATAATAATAGCAAGTTCCTCCACCCTACTCCATCCCACCTGAAAGAAACGGACAAAGAGACAGTTAAGTGAAATCAGGAATTTGTTTCCTTTCTTTTAAAGCAAGGATAAGGTCATTTTCCATGGGCCCCCCAGGACAGCAGTATCTATGTCCTTTGCTCTAGCTATTCTGGGCTTTCATGCTTGCAATCATCTCATGCACCTTCTTGTTGAGGGCTCCTCCATGGACTCCCTTTTTGCCCATGAGGAAGATCAGGGCTCTGGGGGTCTTGCCAATACAGATGGACTTGCTGTCACCCTCCTTGGTTCTGGTGTCCATCACAGCATCTTTTTCCACAAGCAAGTAGTCACGGATTACACTGCACTTCTTGCCAGCTATGGTAATCCCTGTCTGCAGGAACCCCTTCCTGTCATGGCCTATGATCACCCCCACTTCCTGAGGTGAGATAGCAGCCAGTAGGCCCCCTGGCTTGGAAGCCCATACTGATTTGTTGTCACTGTGCCCCACGATAGCTACATCTTCAATGTTCTTATCCTTTAGAATGGTATTGATGTAGCTTTTCCAGTCACCCATCCTGCTTTGGTTGTCAGAATGCTTCTGAAATGCTCTCAGCCAACTTGTTACCTCTTTGCTTGCCTTCTGGGCTTCAGGACTGGGAGCTTTCAAGCTAATCCTGGAGATTTTGAACTGAGAGTTTGTTTGAGCTGACTCTGACACGTTCAAGCTGAGGAATCAAGAGGGTTCAGCAGACACTGCTCTTGCTTTGCCAATCAGGGGAGATCTATCCCCATCATGAAATGGTCATGTGTATGCTTAAACAGTTGCTAAGAGTTTCTTTGTGATGTCAAAAGCATCTGGCATCACAACCTGTAGGCCATTATGATGTCATATCTCTCTTAAAGTAAAAGTAGCCTTTATTCCCTACATGTCTAGAAATGTACAAGATGTTTGCCCTTCTACTTCCTACGGCCAGGAGGGGTCATTTGTATGAACTTCAGTTTTTTATTGCGGTCTCCAAAGAACATGGAAACTGCTCTATGTTGTGTATCACAGGGCTTGGTGGTGGAAGAGTGAAAAGGAAAATGCAGATAGATGTATAGCCATGACAAAACAAGATGACAGTGTAGAAGTACCAGTACTGAAGTTGAAGGTGTTAAAAATTCCAATTCTTTCAGTGAATATTGGATCAGATTCTGCCCCTGCAGAGCCCGTTTTCTTCTGAAGTTGAAAGTGGAGAATTCCTCTAGAAGGCAAAACCATCCTACCACCTGCCATGCCTTTCTTATCCTCTTCCAAAGTCCTAATCCAGTGATACCATCTCTTGCTCTGGAGTGTTGAAGAAGCAAACAGAATGTGCAGCCAATGTTTACTTACACTTTGCAGCCGAAGTATTCTCTATTCTCTGCCTCACCCATCAGCTGTTTGGTGTGTGCGGAAACTGATGATGGATCTTGGGCAAAAACTCATCAGTATTAACCTGGCATGGCTGAAGGATGTATTTAAAATAGAAATGGGCCTAAACCAACCCCCCAAAATCTAATAATTTCTGGATTTTGGGTCTGGATCTCAACTGGGTAGCTGGCCTCTGTGTGTATAAATGGATTGAGCAAAACATCCACATACTTAAGAGTTCAGGCTCATCTCTTAATATACAGATGCTATCTCTAGCTAATCTGAACAGATTTCTCCTAGCCTCTGAAACAGTGAAATGAACATCTTATGGTGATTATGTGACCTTCTTCACAGCAAATGCCCTGTCTGTATCAATCCAGCTTTCTCGGCTCCCTCAGCATGCTACCATCAGTGCCAGCCTGCATGGGGGCACGCTCAGCTCTTCTATAGCAGTGCCTCCCTAATCCATACCAGTTCTAACATCCTGTCCATCCACCATGGTACATTTGATCACCCTTGAAAACGACATGTAAAGCATATCAACTTTGTAAAGCTATGGTGGAAGCAAAGATAATTCTCATTTTATTTCTATAAAATACTGTTTCTGATTATTAAGAACATCGGTGGTGGCTATACAATCTTCAGTTCAGGCACCTTTCCTTTTTCTCTCTTATTTTTGGGTGGTACAGGTGTTGAACTCCTCCATGAGGTGTGGCAGGAAGAATTCCTGGTGGGGAATCTGTTTCAGGCTAGGACTTCCCTAGAGTTTTCTTGGAAATAGAGGCACAAATCCTTCCCCATAACTGATTTGTGTACCAATGCTGAAAAGTTTGGAGTTGCAGTCTGATGGTGATCTGTTGCCTTTCCCTCTGGTCCTGCTTTTGGAGACGGGTGTAGTAAGATGAGGCCCTGAGACATAAAACCCTTGGTATCAGAGGCCCGGTATGAGGCCTGAACTGAAGTAATGTTCAAGACGTTGCTAACATAAAGCAAAGTTAGGCTGTGAGCCAGAGGCAGGCCCTGCTCACAGAAGTTGGCAAGAGGAAGGCTGCTAAAAGCACATATACACATGTAAGCACTAATAAGATGAACGTGAGCCAGGACGGCATCAGAACAGCTTGGTACAAACACATCCCACACAGACAACAAGGAACAGGCACACCCAGCTTAAAGACAGGACAATATGATGGATAGACAATACGATGGATGGACTTATTTGTTCGAACCAACCTGTACCAGGAGAATGGCAACACCCTAATGCATAGAGGGGCTGTACCTGAGTGAGTTCAGTGATGCGTAACCAGGTTTGTACCTGTGTATAAGAATGCATCCCTGAGTGGATGTCTTTGTCTGGCCTAAGGTGCAGTGGCAAATCCCGCCACTGACTGAGCCGGTCCATTGTCAGGGACCACATATGTACTAGCAGAACTGTAGACATCTGATCCGGGGAGCTAGAAACTGTGTTTCATTTGTCAATAAACCTGGCTGGGTGCCTTCGTACCTATTAGAGTCTGTGGTCATTGGGCAGTTTGCTCGAGATCTGCTGTGCCAGCTAGCTGCGCAGAGCTGGGATAGCACACAGGGAGAACACACACACGCAGCCGACTGTTATCAGCATTGATCAGAGCACCACACCAGTGATGTCTGACAACAACAGGCACAGGGCCAAGTCATGAGTTACATGGGCTGTGGAGTGCCTCAGAGAAGGACAGGTTTTGCCTTTGCTTCTATATGTAAGCTCAGTGTGATGCTGGTTGGAAATTTGTCATGGCCAATTTTGAAGTGGGAAATTAATGATTCAGGGAAACTTTACAGAGAAATCAACTATCAAGTGGTATTGGTCTCCCAGTGAAGAGCGTTACATGATAGTAAAGGTATTTTACAGTAACTGGTGTGAGCTGACTATGATCAGTCATGTTGCAAATATATAACTATGCCAGAACCTAGAATTGTAGGTTCAAGAATTGTACCTTTTTTTTCCTGGCTAAGGGGACAAAGTATCAACCGTGAGTGTAATGTTAGATATCCCAGCTGAGACTCAGTGGACAAGGGAGAACCTCTGCATGGCTCAACCAGCAGATTCTGAGGCCTGGTTTGCCCTACACAATTAGGTCCTTGAAAGGCAGTTTATGTTTACCTAATTATGTCAGTGTATACACAACAGCCTTGTCCCCTTCATGTAAGTGCCCTACTACCCCCACATAGTAACTCCACCTTCACGAGAGAAGTAGGGCTTATGTCAGTGTACTTAGGAGGAGACAGTGTCTATGTACACAGTGTTTTACTACATCCAGAGTTGCCTGTCTTGTCTATTTCACAGCTCTGTGCTGGAACTACGAAATTGACAAGAAACCCTGGCTCCCTGCTCCCAACCTGGCTGCTGCCTGGAGGCTCCCCACTTAGGGAGCCAAGAAGCCCGGGGAGGCTGCCCTCCGTTCCTAGCCAAAAGCGGGTAGCTGAGATCCTTGGGGGCAAGTGGGCTCCCGAGGGGAGCTAGCTGAGCGCTCAGCCCAGCACACTGCCCCTCTTCAGCCCCCGCACTACTTACTTAAGTGCACTTAAGCCTATCGCGTAGACATGCCTCCAGTCTCATCTCCCGGGCTTCCACCGCCCCTTTAGAAATCCACTCACTTCCCTGGAGTGGTTCGCGGCTTTACCCCCTTGTCAACGAGACCCACAGCCAGGTTCTTTCCCCCGAGGATGAGGGGCTCTCCACAGGCCCGTCTCCACGCTGCAATGGGAAGTAGGGGGCTCTCCGTCCCGCCATAACCGTCGGGGTATATGGGGCGGGGGCGATGGACGTTAGAGGGCGATTTCCAGCTTTCCGACAAGGAGACGTGGGCGCTGAGCTAGGAAGGCCGATGCCCGGGCGAGGGGCGCGGGCGGAGGCTCTGCACGGCGCGAGTGGGTCCGGGGCAGCGGCGGCGGCTTTTCCCGCCCCGGCAACCTCGCAACGGCTGTTTCCAGCGCCTGGAGAGCGGGGCCGGCTGGGGTGAGAGGGCGGGAGGCAGGACCGCTCGGCCCCGGGGGCTGCGCAGGGTCGGGGGGGCCCGGCAGGGAGGGGCGGGACGGTGGCAGCCCGGACCCGCCCCGTCCTCATCAGCCGCGGCCTCCGCCCCCCTCGCCTCAGTCGCCATGAGCGGATCCAGCTGGGCCCTGGGGGGCTCCGGCCTCCTCCCGCCGCTGCCCCAGTCCCAGGCCGCCTGGCTCGGCGCCGCCGGCGCGCTGGCCCTGGCCGCCCTGCTGGGGGCCGCGGTGTGGCGCTGGGCCGGGCGGCGGGCGGGCAGCCCCCGGCTGCAGCGGGTGGGGACGGTGTCCGGCCTCTTCGTCTACCCGGTGAAGTCCTGCCGCGGGGTGGCCCTGCGGCGGGCCGAGGTGACGGCGCTGGGGCTGCGCAGCGGGGAGATGCGGGACAGGTACCGCCCGGGGGCCGGGGCGCTGCGGGAGCTCCAGGCCCCTTAGAAGCGCCCCACTCAGGCCGTGTCGCCCCTGCCCGCCGCCCCGTGGCTGCCCGCTTCGCCCCCGCCGCCCCCTGGAGGCGAAGGGGAAGAGGTTGTTCGGCGTGAGAGGTTGACCCGTGCTTCAAGGGCCCCAGTGAAGCCCCTTGCAGTCAGGGGGAGGCTGTGCCAGGGGGAGGCCCTTTCCCTGGCTGGGAGGGGAGCTCTGCCTAGCTCTGAGGGCTTGTCTCTCTCACCAGCAGATGTTGGTCCAATAAAAGAGATTCCCTCACCCACCCGGTCTCTCTGATTCACCCAAGGAGATCGAGACTAAAACTCAAGATGCGACTCTCATGTTTAAGGCTACGATTTTGTCGTGGACGTTTTTAGTCAAAGTCGGGGACAGGTCAGGGGCAATTTAACAAAAATTCAGGGAAGCTGTGACCCGTCTCTGACTTTGACTGAAAATGTCCATGACAAAACGGGCAGGGAGGAGGGTCGAGCACCCTGCCCTGCTGTGGCTGGGAGGGACCCCGCCTGTGGCAGCTGGGGAGCTCCGGGGGATTCTCCCACCGGCAGCATTAGCTGAGGAGCTGCCTGGGATGCCCCAGCCACCCACTGCCCTTGGTGGCTGGGGAGCTCTGGGGGTCCCCAGCACCCACGGACTGGGGAGCTTCGGGGGATCCCCTGCCAACCGTGGCAGCTGAGGAGCTGCTGGGGATCGGAGCTGTCCGGGGATTTCCCCCACCCGCCCCCAGTTGTGCTATAGCTTATTAGTTTTAGTAATAGTTTTTTTAATGAGAGACATCACTGCATTGTACAGGGCATAAAGGGGAGGGACATCAGACTTGCTAAGGAAAAACCTGAGTAGTTATGATAAGAAGAAAATGTCTAAGCTCTGTGCATCAGGAAATCTCTCTCTTTGCACTCCAGTGTCTTGATCATTGATGGTGCTGTGTAAGTAAAATGTTTAATATATTTCATTCCCTTTTAAATTGCAGGTTTTGGCTTCTGATTAATGAGGATGGACATATGGTTACTGCCCGACAGGAGCCTCGGCTGGTCCTGATTTCCGTAAACTGTGAAAATGGCTACTTAACCCTGAATGCTCCAGAAATGAAGGAACTGCGTGTTCTAGTCAAACTCTCCAGGAAGAATCCAGTGCACAATTGCAGGTAATAGAGGAAGATTTTTCTTTTTGAAGTACTAACTTTAATTTAATATGCTTTTCTTTCAGTATTTTACAAAGAAAGTGTAATGTACCTTAATGGGCTTGATGCAGGAATTACTGGGTGAAATGCTATGGTCTGTGTTATGCAAGAGGTCAGGCTATGTTATCATAATGGTTCCTTCTGGCCTTAATTTTTTAATAAGTCCACTTATTATTGAAGTCAAATTTTCGGAGAGGACATCAAGGTTATCAGAGATTATACACTATATCTGCCAAATTACTCATGCCTATTTACTGTCTATTCTGCATTTAGCTTGGCTGCGTGTTTGCATTTGAAAATCTTGGTCACGTATGTAGCTATTTCTTGATTTCCAATAAGCAAATTCTGTGTGATGTGCAACATCACATAGAATTGGTAAACTGGAATTTATGACATTAGGTATTTTACCTGTACTGAAATCTACCTTGGAAAATGGCCAGTGCCTAGCAGAAAAGGGAAGAACACTTTTCCCCTGTTAAAATGTCAGTTACATTTAAGAATATTGTGGCAGCTCTAAATGTTGGTAACCCACATGAGCGTGGTGCCAAGGGCTTCTCCTTTGGATAGCAGAAGACATTAGAGTACCAATTCTTCTAGCTGCTGGCGTTGAGAATAAAGCAGCTTTATAAGGAACTATATTTGCCAACTCTAAGTGTAAATTGTTGCTATGGAAACTACTATTAACTATTTTACTATTAACTGTTGTAGTTCAGTTTTTCTTTTTAATTGACATAAGATGGATATAAATTGACAGTGATGCTGTTTACGATGGAAAGCTTGGGGGGAAAATAGCATTATCTTTTTAAAATCTGTCTACTATGTATTCTAAGATCTGATCCACAATATTTCACTTTTCAGAGAAAATGTCATTTAAAAAAAAATGTTTGTAGTCCCTCTTCTGTGCTGTGGTTCAAGCTCCCGCCCTTCTATTTGGTGCTTGCTATCACTGATGTTCGGAGTGACGTATCCTCTTTTTCCTTCCAGGATTAGGTTCTGGGTTCTTTTCTGGTGCCTGGTGCCTCCACCCACTGTGACTCATTGCTCTGCTGTTCTTTGAGAGAATTAAATGGTAGTGGTAGCCAGCAAGAAATATAAAGCCCACTATACAAGGGACAATAAAGCAAACAAACACAACCCCCTGCAAAGGATTGACACACCCAAAATAACAGCATAGCAAAGGGGGACTTTATTGGGTACAGGAAAATAGGATCTGGGGAAGGAAGGGGTTAAGGTTATATCATAAGTAAATAAATAAGTAAAAAATATATCATTCCCTAACTTCCCAACACTCGCAACTCATCCTAACCCCCGGCTCCATCCCTGGCACCTTCTTAGGCAAATTGTATGTTAAGGCTGAGTCCTGAGATGGAGTGTTGCAGTGCTGTGTTGTTGGCCAGCTTAAACAAAAAAGCCCTCTTACCCCTCTTAGCCCTCTTACCTGGGGGCTGCAGGGGCAGGGTCCTCTCCTGTCTTCTATCAGGCTTTCTGATTATGTGAAAAAGTAGCCCAAAAATTGCTAGCACCACCACTGGGCTCCTTTGGAATCTCCTGTGGGCTGCTTGTGTCCACCCAGTTGGGAACTTTCTGTGCTGGGAGGCAGGGCTGGGGCCCCTGTCCTGCAGCCTGAAATAGGGGAAGGGAGGTGGAGCTGCTGGCAGTGGAGGGTGAAGGGCAAAGAGCTAGGGCTGTGAGACAGATGGATCTGCAACTCTCCTCCTCCCCTGGCAGGCAGCCTGCCTTGGGAAAGCCCTGTGACAGTGCCAAGCAGGTTTTCCTTGCGACAGGGCTTGGAGCTGGAGTCTCTAGGGTAGCAGCCAGAGAGGTAAGTTGCTGAGTAACCTCCCTCAGGACTGCACTGGGACAAAGGGTGGTCCTAGAGCTTCTTGGGCTGGGGAAGAGGGGCCCCCATAGGTTTGTTTCCTTGCCCTGATGGAGAGAAGAGCTCCCCGTAGGTTCCTGTCCCTCTGTGCAGTCTCTCCATCCGAGACTCCCACCAGGGCTCATGCTATGCTGACTCCCCCTATCCTTAGCCTGCAGCAGTGGTTCTCAACCAAGGGTATGTGTATCTCTTTGGTTACACAGACGTTTTCCAGAGGGTATATCAACTCATCTAGATATTTGCCTAGTTTTACAACAGGTATATAAAAAGCACTAGCAAAGTCAGTACTAAAAATTCATAGAGACAATGACTTGTTTATACTGCTCTATATACTGTATGCTGAAATGTAAATACAATATTTATATTCCCGTTGATTTATTTTATAATTTATATGGTAAAAATGAGAAAGTAAGCAACTTTTCAGTAATAGCGTACTGTGAAACTTTGGTATTTTGATGTCTGATTTTGTAAGAAAGTAGTTTTTAAGTGAGGTGAAACTTGGGGTCCGCAAGACGAATCAGACTCCTGAAAGTGGTACACTAGTCTGGAAAGTTGAGAGCCACTGGCCTGCAGGGCTGGATTAATCCATCATCAGACCCTACGCAGACATACACTTCTGGGCCCCTGTCTTCTAATTTGAATAAGAATACACTTCAGTGATGTTCCCTGCAATACATATCTCTGCAGTAAATTTGCATCCCAGCTTGTTAACTCCTATTGGAAAAGGAATTAGTTTCTGTACCTGGCCAGTACTCTCCTTTCTTCTTGACTCTATTGGGAAGGCAACATAAATCTCAACTGTGTGTGAGGACTGTCTCTGTCTACTCATTCACTGGTGCAGATTTGTGCATGAATTGAAAGAACTTCACCCACTCGCGTGAGCAGCATTGCGATCTGGTGCATGGGGTCACAATCACAACACCCCTTCAATATGTCTTGGCTGCCATTCTGTCATGATAGAGTGAATCTGCATTGGGGTGTTTATACAAAAACAACAACCTCCACTCCCCACGCTACATATTTTGGGACCCCCATGTGAACTTACTGCAGCTCCCAGGAAGCAGCCACCAGGTCTCTGCAGCCCCATGGCACATGGGGGGCCAGGGAGGCTCCATGCCCTGCCCTGGCACCTGCAGGCACCGCCCCCGCAGCTACCATTGGTCATGGTTCCCGGCCAATGGGAGCTGTGGAGCCAGCTCTGGGGGCAGGGCAGTGTGCGGTGCCGCCCTGGCTGCCCATGCGCTTAGGGGCCGCAGGGACCTGGTGGCTGCTTCTGGGAACCATGTGGAGCTAGGGCAGGCAGGGAGCCACCGGTGTGCCACCGACCAGACTTTTAGTGGCTCAGTAGGCCATGTTGACCGGAGCCACAAGGGTCCCTTTTTGACTGGGCTTTCCAGTCGAAAACTGGATGTCTGGCAACTCTAACTGCCATAGAGCTCGATTCCCTTTGTGGGCAGTGGGATTCTCACAGGGACTCCAGGGGTAGCTCCCACAGTTAAGTTTTAAAACTGAAACTAAAACAGTGTCTCAGGCTGTGCAGTGTTGGGGGCTGTGCAGCTCTGGTTGGTCACTTGTTTAGCTCACCCCATACACCAGCCTCACTATTTGCCTCAGCAGGAGTTTCTGATTCCTTCTGTCCCCACCCCTTACTCCACGCAGGCCGAGAAATGGTGTCAGAGGACTATGGTAGCCATTATAGTTGTTGTCCTGTTGGTAGGGCCCCCTAACTAGATGATCCTTGTTGTCCCTTCTGACCCTATGGTTCTGTGATTCTATCTCATTCCATAACTCAGGGCTTTGCACACATTTATAATAAGGGGTACTTCAGAGAGACAAGTTTCATATATCACCCTATTTTTACCTTCCTGTGTTGGGAAAATGTTGGACTTACACAGCCCTCCCCCAAAATGAGGGGTTATTTTGTCAGGAACTGCAGGATCAAATGACTCTAAATTTGTTTCACGCACTCTACTCTGGCTTCTGAATTGACAAACCCATTCTCAAGCTGATTTGACTGAGTATGTGGATTTAAAAAAAGGACGCAATATCCGCTTTAAACAGAAACCATCTTGCAGCCTTAACTATGGTATCGTCTATCCTTGCCCCTTAATAAAAAATGCTTAAGGAACAGAAAGACTATCTTTGTGGTGATAAAAGTGTCACCTGATGTAATCTTTAGGTGGCATAATCTCTCATTTTTGTCTAAATTCTTATGCCCCTAGAATTTGAGGCAGCACTTCCTTAATCACAAGGGATGGGATTAACAAATGTTGATCGACAGTGACTAACTGCTCTTGGAAACTGTCATTCGCTTGCTTAAATTGATCAAATCTAAATTGGTGTATCTTTTGGTAAAGGTTTTCTGTCTTTTAAAAATGAAAAATGGAGTGGAATTATACTTGGTATTATTGACACAAGTGTGTAGAATAAATCTCACTTTTTTCTTTTAAATCTAGCATGGCAAATGGATGTTGTGTAACAGTTAACTCAGCCTAACTTGTTCAGTCCCTAACAGGTGGGAAATTTGATTACTGTATTTATCAGTACCACTGTTCTGGTTGCTTGTCTGCAAGGAACTGGCGTTGCGTGTACTGGATTTGTTTGGATTTTTTAAACATTTGCACAGAATGTATTAGTGGGTCCAGAATTGAACTTACAATTAGTCGGAATCCAAAAATTCCATATTTAATCTCTTTATCGTCACTCAGAGAGCTCATTGACGGCATCTTTTTCTTTGTTTTATAAAAGCAAGATGTTTGATTTTGGATTGTGGAGATGAAAATAAGTCCACTTGAGTTCTCTGCTTTTAAACTATCTCACGCTTCTTTTAGGCTGTTTGGATTGGATATCCAAGGCAGGGACTGTGGAGATGAGGCAGCTCAGTGGTTCACCACCTTCTTGAATACACAGTCATATCGACTGGTGCATTTTGAGCCACACATGGCCCCTAGGAAGTCCAGAGACGTATTCACCACTTTCCGATCCACAGATGAGGTTAGGTGAAAGTTTTCCTCGATAATCCTTTTTTGTGTGTGTCTTCCTTCCCACCCAACCCTCCTATTGTAATACTTGTTCTATGGGGAAGCCTGGTCATACTGAAATACCTACTTCATGCATATGAGCAGTCCCATGAGTTTGCTCGCTTGCTTAAATGGTGTTTTAAATCAATTAAAGTTATTGAACACGAAGAGCTACAGAATCTGAGGCTGTCATTTTGACAAGAAGTGACCCAGCACGTGACTAAGGGGAACTCCTGATGCACTTTAATGAATGAGAGATGCTGGGGTTTTTGAAGGCAGTTTATTGATAAATTCAATGTGTCCTGAAACTCCCTCTGCTGTCTCTATCCCCGGTTCTGTGCAGCACTGTTCTAATATGAACGGTCTTTACTTCTATTTTGTTTACAGATACTATAGTGGCTGGATTGAGCCCTGTGTTAATCAGAGGGTTAGTGCTTCCACTGAGGAAAGCCCGCACAAAAGAGGGTTATGGCAGCACAAGCTGCCCACAATCCCCTCTCCCTTGGAGTGGGCCTGCAACCACTGCATTAGAAACCGGGTACAAGGGCAGGGAAGTTGGGTGATGTGCTAAATCAGTGCACTCCTTTGGCAGCCTCTGCTTCCTGGGGTCAGGAATGGACAGCTGCCCTTCCTCCGTCTCGTTCCCATCCTCCACTGTACCTCCCCTAAGCAAAATCCTCAAGGGAGCTGGGTGTTGAAAACAGTATCTCTCCTTCTCTAGGTAAGAGTTCCCCCTGGAGCATAGTTGGCTCTGGTAGTGCATGGAGATGCAGATTGAGTACCCTTCCCTGCAGCTGTGAGTGTTGTTGTTTATTGAGCATCAGCATTTTACCTGGTGTTGTTGCTTAAACAGAAAACATGTACAAGAAGTTATATTAAAATCTCTACTCTCTGTGTGCGTCTTCTTGACAAGTAGATGAAGACTAATTAAGACCATTAAGAGGGGTAATGGTTTCAATGAAGCGCTCGCTGAAACAGAAGATACTGTAAGGTGCTAATTGGGCAGATGCAGGTACACAGGGAGCACAGCGTGGTGCTGTTGATGTTAATGTGGAGGATAGAGCAATGTAAACAAATTTCATTGCACATTTTCACTTATTTGAGAGAGGGGAGGTAGAGACTACCTGTCACTTTACAGATTTTGTACAATGTGTGCAAGGGAAAAAGGATGGTTTGGGAGGGAAGGGAGACTTTCAGTGTGCACTGAAACTCTCCTGAAAACTGCCTCCAAAGTCTCTTACGCTTGTCCCATGTACGGATGTGTGCAGAGGGAGTTTTCTTAAAGTATTATTTAGTAACGCTTTTTGCCAAAGTGGCAGCCTCCATGACAAAAAGTCAGTGCCATTAATGATCAATTGCAACTTAATTTTGATAATGTTTGTTGAGTAAATCTCTTACCCAGAGTTTGTGATAGAGTGGATTCAGTCTATCAGAAAATCTCATTTGATATAGATTGAAATAAGGAAATATTGAAAAACATAGTCAGTTTGCTATTTGTAAGACTGGGGACAGGAAAGGGAATTGTCTTTTTTTCTGACACTCCAGAGAAAGACATCCCTAGGCAGAGAACTATAAATATGCAAATAAACTTCATGCTGACCAAGTGGTATGCAAAGAAGGGTAGAGAATTAGGAACTAGGCTCTCTGTGGGCTGAAGGAAACACTTGACTTGCAGAAAAAAAATTAGAAAAATAATAGTTCTGGACTTTGTTTGTAATTAAATAGGGGTCACCTTTTATATGAAAATTCCATTTATAAATCATTTTATAAAATAGTAGTAAATGATTAATAGATGTTTTATCAAATGGTTAATTGATTAGAGATTGTTAGAGTCCAACAACTCAATGGGTTGCTTATAACCTTCTGTAATATCTTCTACTGATACCTGCAACACGGAAAACTTGTGTCTGTAATATTCTTCTATCTATTATTGATCTTTTATAAACAACCTATAAATGGAAATTTGTATTTGGTCAAACTTTACTATTAATTTACAATGGCTACTATGCTGGGAAGGGGCAAATTATTTCACTTCTCAAAATACTGCCCCTGAGTCTTAAGAATGTGACTACAACAACATAAAACTATGTGGCTAAATATATGGCCATCAGTTCACAGTTATCTGTTTCTTGGCCATCGAAAGTTCTGCAGACTTTGACTGGTGAGAAGCATTTTCTTGTAGGAGCATTAGGATTTATTTGCCTTCATTTTTGTAGATTGCCTATCCTGACTGCAGCCCGGCCATGATCCTCTCAGAAGCTTCGTTGGAAGATCTAAATACTAGGCTGGAGAAGAAAGTTAAAATACAGAACTTCAGACCAAATATTGTGGTTACGGGTTGCAGTGCTTATGAGGAGGTAAATGATCTGCAGCAGTGATTTTAAAACTTTTTTTCTGGGGACCCAGTTGAAGAAAATTGTTGATGCCCGCCACCCAGTGGAGCTGGGGATGAGGGGATCGGGGTGTGAGAGGGGCTCAAGGCTGGGGCAGAGGGGTTGGGGGTCAGGAGGAGGTCAGGGCTCTGGGCTGGGGTGCAGGCTCTGGGCTGGGGCTGGGGATGAGGAGTTTGGGATGCAGGAAGGGGTTCCAGGTTTGTGGGGGAGCTCAGGGCTGGGGCAGGGGATTGGGGTGCGGAGTTACCTCTGGTGGCTCCCGGTCAGCAGCACAGCCAGGATGCAGAGGCAGGCTTCCCGCCTGTCCTGGCACCACGGACTGCGCTGCGCCCCGGAAGTGGCCAGCAGCAGGTCCGGCTCCTAGGCAGAGGCGCAAAAGCGGCTTCACGCAACTCTCTCCTGCAGGCACCGTCTCCCCTCCACCCCCCCCAGTTCCCATTGGTGGTTCCCAGCCAATGGGAGTGCGGAGCCAGTGCCTGGGGTGGGGGCAGTGCGCGGAGCCCCGTGGCCCCCCTGCCTAGAAGCTGGACCCACTGCTGGCTACTTCCAGGGCTCAGCGCAGTGTCAAAACAGATAGGCACTAGCCTGCCTTAGCTGGGCAGCACTGCTGACAGAACTTTTAACGTCCCGGTCGGTGGTGCTGACCAGAGCGACCCAGAGCCTACGTGCCGTGACCCAGTAGTGGGTCGCAACCCAAAGTTTGAAAAACCCTGATCTACAGTACTTTAATTGCTATTTGTTCTGAGTGTTGGATGTGTTCTTCAGAACCCTATTTCCTTGGGATATAGAGTCCAAAGAACATCTAAAGCCTTGGCTGTACTTGGGATTAACTCTGATTTAGCCATCAATAGCCAGTGACTGGTGTAGCTGCAATGGTGTAAACCCCAAATACATATAAGGAAAGCAGCTATCTTGGGATTTGCCATGGCACATCTGGCCACCAGTCGCTGACTCCCAGGTACAAATAGAGCCTTAGAAATTATTCTATAAATGCTTGCAAAGTTTAAAGGGAGATAATAGGTTTGTGGATATTAATTGATATTTATGCAACCTAGTGAAGCATAAAATGAATGTATTGAAAATGTGAGGCTGGGACTTCATGCTTGCCTTTAGACCTCAAATGGGAAATCTTATGTACAGTATAAGACGTCTAATGATAGAGGAAAAAAAAATTTGGGAGTGAGTGTGTGTGATATTTTATCACATTTTGCTTATAAATAAAAGCTCATTCTGATGGTCCAATAGTACCATAACTGCTGCATATTTATTGGTTCTCTAACTTTCAACATTTAATTAGTGTAGATAAAACTGTGGGTTTACATGGTGGAGTGGTGCAGATTTTACATGTTTGGGTTCACTCTGGAGAGTTCCTCTTTGCTCCTGAGGACCTAAAATTCCCATTGCAGGATTGTGCCTCTGTCTTCCAAGTAGGATTGCATTAGGAAACTTCTGGGCTGATAAGTGAAGACTGACTTTGCTTGTTTTCATTGATAACGTTTTGTGAAACTGTAGTTAACTTAAAATTTTTTAGATTAAATACAGTGTTAATTATCAATTGTGAAATCGGAACACAAACACTTATGACTAGAAAATACACTCTGCAGAAGGCTTTTTTGGTTCTCCCTTTTTGTATTAACCTGCATTTTATGTTTGGTAAATTACGGGTTTTTAATAAAAACCATGTCTGGTTTAAGACAGGCACATTTTAAATGACCTGGTTGTCACCTTTTAGTGGCGTGTATCTGAAGCAATTTGGTAATGCATGCAGCTGACCCTGTAACTTTTGAAAAACTGATCAGTCTGCTTTGAGTAGATGATTAATATACTGATGTTGACAAATGCAATGATAACATGTTTTATTAAAAATAATAGCATATCTATTCTAGCTCTTATTATGAGGATGCAAGAAAGCATGATGCTGTAAAATGATGCTTCGTCTTATAGTAATGACCGTGCTCAAAGCCAACTTCTGGGAAATATTTAAATGCAAACATTGTGAAAATATAATATTATATCAATGTTTACATTTCCCTTAGGATTCCTGGAATAAGATACAAATTGGTAATGTGCAGATGAAAGGGACAATGGCTTGCCCCAGGTAAGGGTTTAAGAATATACTTGAAGGACAAATAAATATTGAGTAACTGCTGTTGCCTAACATTGTCCATCATTACAGGTGTATCTTAACAACTGTTGATCCGGAAACTGGGATCATTGACAGAAAGGAGCCACTGGAAACACTGAAAAGGTAGCAAAAATAATAGCGTCTCATCTTGATTCAGCAGTTATCTTAAAAAGAAGGCATTTGAAACGTGTGTTGCGTGTACTTATACAACCTTTTAAATTGCAAACTTTTGGGTTCAGTCCTTGCCTATGCACTATATTGAAAAGAGGACTCATTAAAACTCTCCTCCACCCACATCCTATATATAGGACTCCTTGATCCACTTTTCAGTATAGTGCGCCTGTATAGTCTAGGCAAAGACTGGACCCAAAGTATACAATCTTTTACATTGCATAATTTAACTGTCTAATTGTAGCTGGTAATCATTTATATCTGTCCTACAAATAGATAAACTAAAGTGTGTGTGTGTGTGTTAGAGACAAAGAGTATTATTGGTGATGCAAGTAGCATCACCTTTCTTAAGGTCGCCTCACACTTCCCATTTGAAGAACCCTTTTTCAGTTACTTATAACTTTGCCAAACTTTAACTACTTGGGCTGAAGTTTTGCATGGTAGGTGTCTGCCTTAGGCAGGCTTTGTTTTTGTTGTTTGGGAGAGAGTGGGGTTGGATTTTAGCCAGAGATTTAGCCATTTCTGAGAATGAGGCTAGAGAAAAATGTTTTCCCCATATTTAACACTCCTCCCTCCCCCAAACTTTGGTGATCTTTTCTTTGTAAAGCTCTAGTGCCCCCATGCTTTAGATGAGGGTCTTCACATGTGGTGGTGGGGCTTTATTTCAGGAATGTGCCTCTTGCTATCCCTGTGAAAATCCTCCCATATGAGGCCAAATTATAAGCCTTTGAAAACTTTCAGTAGAGACTTCATAGAATTTTACCAGATACATTCCCTGAAGATTCTGTCTGCACTAGTCATTCTCCAGCCTGAGGCTGAGCAGGACTTCTCCTGCAATTCAAGCTTTGGGCTGCTGTCGGATGGGCCTAGGTCCAGGTCTGGACACCTGAACTGAGAGCAGGGAGACTTTCTCTCCTGTGCTCTAAATGAACCCCTGCTGGGTGGGGCATAGTGGAGGAGGAAACTGCCTGATTCAGATTTGAATGCAGAGTGGACAAGAGCTGGACCTGTGGGAGGTGGGGGTAGAAATTGGGACTGGAGACTGGTGGGGCAGGAAAGGAGGGGGACTGGTAGTTGGCAGGGGAGGGAATTGAGACTGGTTGGGCAAGGAGATGGAGAGGGGAGAAAATGGACGGACTGCAATTGGCTTGCAAGGAGACTGCAGCTGGGAGCCGAGGAAGGAAGACTGGGAGCTAGTAGATGGGAGAGGGAGGAAACTAAGATGGGATGAGGAGTTAGTAGATTCTGGGACTGGCTGGGCAAGAATACTGGGACTGAGAAGTAGTGGGATGGAGGGAGGAAAAAATAATAGTGATCATGTAATTAAAGACTGTCATGATGCATACCCAAATTAAGATAGCACAGGCAACCTTTATTCTGGCATTTTCTGACTACTGAGTGCTTGACTTTATTAAGGTTGCAGTGTGTGTAGTCTATATAATAGATTACAGGAATGTCACAGTGAACCCTAGAATGTCTGTTGAGTCAGTGTGAAGTGATGGAAACAGTTAAAAACATGGCTGAGAGCTCTCTTTGTTTAGAATATCATCAGGTTCAATCATCACCGGAAGTGCTGGCCAGTTTTTAAGTTCTGAGCCATTTTGACTTTACGAAATACACCCATGTGGTGTACAGCTATAGTTAAGCATCCATGCCAAAAGTCCCTAGACCATTGTGATACCACAGGTAACGCAACCAGTCATCACCCTTAGTCTACATCTAATTTGCATGCAACGGTTTCATTGGTTCTTTGAGGGAGACTGCACACAGATGGTGACAGGTTTCAGTGGTAGCCATGTTAGTCTGTATCAGCAAAAAAAATCGAGGCGTCCTTCTGACACTTTAGAGACTAACACTTTTATTTGGGCGTAAACTTTTGTGGGCTAGAACTCACTTCATCAGATGTGTGAAGTAAAAGATACAGGAGCAGGTATAAATACATGAAAGGATATATATCTACCAATGTGATCTATGCCATCATGTGCCAGCAATGCCCTTCTGCCAAGTACATTGGCCAAACATGGCAGTCTCTACGCAAAAGAATATATGGACACAAATCAGACATCAGGAATCATAACATTCAAAAACCAGTAGGAGAACACTTCATCTCTCTGGTCACTCAATAACAGACCTCAAAGTGGCAATTCTTCAACAAAAAACTTCAAAAACAGACTCCGTGAAGCTGCAGAACTGGAATTAATTTACAAACTAGATACCATCAGATTAGGCCTGAATAAAGACTGGGTGTGGTTGGGTCATTACCAAATCTAAACTTAATTTCCCCAATGCTAATTTCTCCCTACTGTTACTCACACCTTCTTGTCAACTGTCTGTAATGGACTACTCTCTTACCCCTTCAAAATTTATTTCTCCTCCCATGGTATCCTTGTGTTAATTGATTTATCTCGTTAGACTGACCTAACACTTGGTAAAGCAACCCACATCCTTTCATGTATTTATACTGTATCTTTTACTTCATACATCTGATGAAGTGGGTTCTAGCCCACGAAAGCTTATGCCCAAATAAATTTGTTAATCTGGTGCCAAAAGGACTCCTCATTTTTTTTCACAGATGGTGAGTTATTTGGCCCAACTGTCAGACCCATTCAATAGCTTGGGGCTTTCAGCTACTTGTGTGCGTGACAATGAGCAGTCAGTCTCTCATGTGAGCTGCTCCATTCCATTAATTATCTTATCTGTCCAACATTGTCGCCCGTCTAACTAGCTTGCATCCATTAAAATGACCAAAATGAGAGAGCATACTTCAAGTGTTCTCTAACCTTCGCCCTGTAAAGCCATGTGTCCTTTGACTTGTATACTTCAAGGCCCCAATCTTGCAATAACTTACCCCAATCATCCTTAACTTTCTCTTGAAATCAATGGGATTACTCACAGTAGTAAAATTAGGCAAGTGTGTAAGGGTCTGCAGTTTTGGACCCTTAATACAGCCAGCATCTTATCAGCTTTCTTCCCTGCCTCTGCACGCTGAACTAAGAATTGAATTGTCAGATCTGTCAGTGCACCCAGATAATCTCCTTCCAGCAGTGTTAACTAGTTTACTGCTATTTAAACTGTACTGGTACTTAAGCCCCGAAAACTGTTATGCGTGTGTGAGATAATTTACTCACAGCAGTAGCCTCACTAAGTTCAGTTCATTGTGTTTGCCAAAAGAAAATCTATTGACTATTCCATCCTAAATTTTTGATGTGCCATAAAACTTTATTCACATCTTATTGTACTTCAACAAAAATTACCTTTACTCTTCATAATTCCATGGAACCTTGAAACAGACCTATTTATTTATAACCATTTATTTTCTGCCACTGCATTTGTCCAGGGTGCACTACTGTAGGGCAGCCCATATGTGCTGGGCTGCTTGTGTATTTAAATGCTTCATATTTCTTTAAGTGTTTAAGTTTTTGTTCAGTTTTTTTTAAATAGTGGTAGTGGTATGAAGAGAGATGAGTGAAGAGTATCCCAGAACATGATCTACTGCTAATTTACAATGAAGGGATGATATTAAAGTTACTTCAAAAAACCCCATTAACCTCTGCTACCTAGGGCATAATGTCTGTGGATTCTATTTATGTCTTAAACACATACACAGAATCTGGGTACTTATATAAGTTCATTATATAACAACATTCATAAACCATTATATAACCATTATATATAAGTTCATTATATAACAACATTCATAAACCAGTCGGAGAACGCTTCAATCTCTCTGGTCACGCAATCACAGACATGAAGGTCGCTATCTTAAAACAAAAAAACTTCAAATCCAGACTCCAGCGAGAAACTGCTGAATTGGAATTCATTTGCAAATTGGATACTATTAATTTAGGCTTAAATAGAGACTGGGAGTGGCTAAGTCATTATGCAAGGTACCCTATTTCCCCTTGTTTTTTCCTACCCCCCCCCCAGATGTTCTGGTTTAACTTGGATTTAAACTTGGAGAGTGGTCAGTTTGGATGAGCTATTACCAGCAGGAGAGTGAGTTTGTGTGTGTGGTTTTTGGGAGGGGGGTGAGGGGGTGAGAGAACCTGGATTTGTGCAGGAAATGGCCCAACTTGATTATCATGCACATTGTAGGGAGAGTGGTCACTTTGGATGAGCTATTACCAGCAGGATAGTGAGTTTGTGTGTGTGGTTTTTGGGAGGGGGGTGAGGGGGTGAGAGAACCTGGATTTGTGCAGGAAATGGCCCAACTTGATTATCATGCACATTGTGTAAAGAGTTGTCACTTTGGATGGGCTATCACCAGCAGGAGAGTGAATTTGTGTGAGGGGTGGAGGGTGAGAGAACCTGGATTTGTGCTGGAAATGGCCCAACCTGATGATCACTTTAGATAAGCTATTACCAGCAGGACAGTGGGGTGAGAGGAGGTATTGTTTCATATTCTCTGTGTGTATATAAAGTCTGCTGCAGTTTCCACGATATGCATCCGATGAAGTGAGCTGTAGCTCACGAAAGCGCATGCTCAAATAAATTGGTTAGTCTCTAAGGTGCCACAAGTACTCCTTTTCTTATTCTGTTGTGTTTCCTCCAACATAAAACAAACCCCCCCCCCTTTTTTTTCTCTACTTCTTGAAGCTGTGTTTTTCCTTAAGTGATTAATAATGATCATTTTCTCTGTGCAGTTACCGTTTGTGTGATCCTTCTGAGCGACATCTTTACAAATCCCACCCTTGGTTTGGATGGTATTATGGAATTGATAAAACTGGAACGCTTCAGGTTGGAGACCCTGTGTACAAGATAGTCCGTTGACGGAAGATGCATTTTGAGTGGAAAATAATTGTTCATTTATATATGCAAATGTTTTTCTTCTGTGAGGGCAGAGCCTGAAATAACTCTTTGATGTTATCTTGAGGTAAAAAAAATGTATCCCCCATTCTTTGGGACTGTGTAAAAGTACACTGTCCTTGATTGTCCACAGATCCTGTGAGGTGCCAAAGTCTTCTCAGATCAGTCAGTTCACTAATGTGCCTTGAGCCCCTAAATCTAAAACTAAATCTTTAGTTTTCCATTAGAGTGTAAAAGGCAAGCTGTCCAACACTTAGATCAGATTATGAAGTGATTTTTCAGTCTTACACATGCACACTTGTATTATTGCTATCTGTGGAATGAGGCAAGAGGGTGAAACAAGTTGGATAATAATAGTTGAATGTTCCCTTCAAGGTTTGCATATGTTTTAAATTCCTATTTAAGTTGTAATGTCTTAAGAGAACTACCTTTGGAACGTTTTGATCTCTTGTTACTTTGTTGTGGATTGGCAGGCAGAGCAAGAAATTCTGAACCAGTAAAAGAGTGGGTTCTGACAAGGCATGAAGTAGGCTAGAATGTTTTGGAGCTTAGATTCTCTACTTTCTATTGTGAACATTGAAGTGCCTTTCTGTTTGAACATTCCTGAATAACAACCTAGTAAAGTGAAGAAGTAGGCCTGTTATTGACAGTACTGTTAGTTAATTAGTTAACAGTACTGGGGAAGCACTTACCATGCTTGTTGCAAGTAATGCACGCCTGCTTGCCTGCCTACCTATCTCACATTGTTGTTGCTGAGGATTGACTGATGTTTGTAAAGTGCTATATAAATGCTAAGTATTGTTGCGGCAACATGTATCCCAGTATTAGCTCCTGAAGAAATGTAACCTTGTTCGTGCACAATGTGGTGAATGGTGGCAGGCAGTGGAAGAACAAGTGTCCCCATGGGCAGAATTTGGTGCTCATGCTCCTGAGCATAAAGAAGTTGAACAAAATTTAAATCCATTAAAATTACAGTAATTAAAAGTGGGCTTTTGGGGGATCTGGGGTAGATAAGTTCAGATGAATATTTTTTAATACAAATGTTTAACTTTTTTAACTGATGGAAATTTAATTATTTAATTGAAGCAGCTAGGGGAATGAGATTATATAAACATTGTTAATCAGACAATTCAACGATGGTTTTCTACAATTATGTAAAACTGTAAACTGGATTTTAACTCTAGAAATAAATATAAATCAAAATATAAACTACAGAGTCCTAACTACCTTTTAATATGATGTACAATTTGAGGAACTTGTTCTCTTGGCTTTTGCCATTTGATGTTACATCTTACCTAAGTTGGTGTTTAGTTATTTCTCTGCTGCTTCATATACCGTTTGGAAAAGGCCCTTCCCCCTGGTGCCCTACTGTTAAAGCCCTAAAGTTAAAGGCTTTGTGTAAGAAGCAGATGCCAAGTTCAGTATCCAAGTGCCCTTGCATTGCTGTGGAGAAAGGCTTCAGTGCAGAAAAATCTTCAGATTTCTGATGTGGGGAGAGAATCATTAGCAGCCTGGATCTGTGTGGATATTGGCAAAGAATCATCCTTGAACCTGAAGCCGGCATGTTGATGCAGAACAATCCTTCCAGTACAGGACACATCAGAGCTTGGATACCTTCTTGTTTATCTTGTGCTATGTAGCTAAGAACAAAGACTCAAAGTAGACTAGATCCTGGCCCTGCTGTGGTCCATTTACAATAGTCTAGTAGCACAAAGGGACAGAATGCTGGGTTGGGTGAATCTTTGGTTAGGTTGAGCCAGCTCTGCGCTCCCTGCTTCCCTTGTGATCCTTGGTGTGCATGAGGCATTAAATGTGTGGTTGGAACACTGCATCCGATTAAGTGAGCTGCAGCTCACGAAAGCTTATGCTCAAATAAATTGGTTAGTCTCTAAGGTACCACAAGTACTCCTTTTCTTTTTGCGAATACAGACTAACGCGGCTGCTACTCTGAAACCTGTTGTACCCTTGACATCTTTGGCTGTGTAATTTATATAAAGGGAAGGGTAACCACCTTTCTGTATACAGAACTATAAAATCCCTCCTGGCCAGAGGCAAAACCCTTTCACCTGTAAAGGGTTAAGAAGCTAAGATAACCTCGCTGGCACCTGACCAAAATGACCAATGAGGAGATAAGATACTTTCAAAGCTGGAGGGGAGGGGAAACAAAGGGTCTGTCTGTGTGATGCTTTTGCTGGGAACAGATCAGGAATGCTCTTCATAACTCCTTAAATTAGTAAGTAATCTAGCTAGAAATGCATTAGATTTCCTTTTGTTTAATGGCTGTTAAAATAGCTGTGCTGGAGGGAATGTATATTCCTGGGTTTTTTTGTCTTTTTGTAACTTAAGGTTTTGCCTAGAGGGATTCTCTATGTTTTGAATCTGATTACCCTGTAAGGTATTTACCATCCTGATTTTACAGAGGTGATTCTTTTACTTTAATTAAAATTCTTCTTTTAAGAACCTGATTGCTTTTTCATTGTTCCTAAGATCCAAGGGTTTGGGTCTGTGTTCACCTATGCAAATTGGTGAGGATTTTTATCAAGCCTTCCCCAGGAAAGGGGGTGTCGGGCTTGAGGGGATATTTTGGGGGGAAGACGTCTCCAAGTGGTCTCTTTCCCTGTTCTTTGTTCACCACGCTTGGTGATGGCAGCATAGGGTTCAAGGACAAGGCAAAGTTTGTACCTTGGAAGTTTTTGACCTAAGCTGGTAAGAATAAGCTTAGGGGGTCTTTCATGCAGGTCCCCACATCTGTACCCTAGAGTTCAGAGTGGGGAAGGAACCTTGACAGGCTGATATAACCGTTCCCTGAGGGCTGTTACTAGTCAAGGCAAGTTAGAGCAGCCATTAAGATCCCTCACATGCATAAAGCATATACTTAACTTTGCAGGACTGGCCCCTGTTTAAATCATTAATTCTATTTCATCCTATCTGGCAGCAGTTTGCCAAAGAGAGCTCTCAAACAGATTATGTAACTGTGCTATCAGCGTTTACCTCTGAACTTTGTCACAGTAGCTTATTCCTGCTAGAGGGGATGTAATATCTGCTGAAAATTTTAACACTAGCGTTCTCAGGTGACAATGGATATGGTAGCTAATGTGATAACCTTTATTGTACCAACAAATAAATACGAGGTGGTCCGCTTTCTCCCTTCTTCACATTGAAGCAATTCCTGTAGAAAAAATGAAGATGCTATAAAATGCCCACAGCCTGTCAGGAGTTAATCACTGATTCCCTCCCACCCCCATAGAGGTGATGGTGGTGGCGGGTGGGGAGGAGAACATTGAGGAGAGCAGAGTGGGATGAGAGGAGAGTTTATTGTCTGGAGCATGGGGTTTTTCTTGATAGAGGCTGAATATGCAGATTTAACTTGAGGGGTGAGATTTGGGGTTCTCTTGGATGATGGGGAAGCACAGGAACAGAATACCTCTGGGTGGGGCTGAGGGGCAGAATTGGCCTGGCTCTGGGGAGTTGGGGAAGGGGGTGGGGTAAGGGTGCGGGGAGAAGGGGGACTATGGGACCCCGGACCTACCACCACCCCCATCCTCCAGGTCCAGTTGCCATGAGTGGATCCAGGAGGCCCCAGGGGGTGCTGCTGCCTCAATCCTGGACCACCTGGCTTGCTGCCGCCACTATGCTGGCCCTGGGCCTCCTTCTCTTGGCTGGGGTCTGAGGCTGGGCCAGGAGGTGGGTGGCTCCCAATGGCAGCAGGTGTCTGGCCTCTTCATGTACCCTGTGAAGTCCTGCCTCGGGGGGGGGGACTGTGCAGTGGGTGGAGGTGACTGAGCTGAGCTGCACAGTGGGAAGCTGAGCTGCAGAGTGGGGAGATGCGGGAGTTACTCCTGGGGATCCCAGCCGGTGAGTCCGGGGAGATTCTCTGTGCTGCTGGTGAGGTTTCCATTGCCCAAGCCCACTGGTCCAATATAAATTGTCGTCTCGCTGTGGGGCAGCCCCCTTCCATGAAATGCCCTGTTGCTGCAGGTTGCACCTTGACCCTGGGTTAATATAGTGATGAGTCCTGGGTGAGTATCATTACTATTTATTGGACACTGCCCTGGCCTGCTCTGTGTCCGGCAGAGCACAGACAGTGAACAGAAAACAGGGGAGCAGAGGGGTTGCAAACACTTTCATAGCTCAGGGACCCACCTGTTTTTACCCTAGGATGTCTATGGCAACTACAGAAACTGCCTACAGCAACAAGTAAACTTAGGGAAGTACATTACAGATTGGAAATGGGTTGGGCCAGCACTATGTGACTAGTAAGTGCAGATCATAGCTCAGGTACGTATGCTTGAGTACCATAAACAATTGTGGGTTTATAAAATATATATTAAACTAAACACTAAAAAGAGTAGAAATTGGGGTATGGAGAGCTTATTGCAGGATCAGTGCCACAATTAGCAGTGACAATTGTATATAGTCATATCTTGTATCTGAGCTATATAGAATTCTTGTGTGCTGTAGTGGAAGCTGTAAAGGGGGGCGGGAAACCCCAGAGTATGCACCAGCTATGGTTGTCTCCAGGTTTAACTTCAAGAACCCTTGTAATATAGATGTAGAGAGAAATTAGCAGACTAAATACAGATTTATCATTGCCTTTTCTCTTCTATATGTACTTCATGTTAAACCTGTGTTAACAAAACCTTTTTTCACAGTCTGAAGCAAATTTCTAGTAATTGGTCTCCATTTCTTGTATTTATAAAGATTTTTTTCTACAAATTCTTCAGTTATCCATAGAGCCTCCCACTGTAGTCAACGCCTAAATGTTGAATGCGTCCCAAAAAACCAAAACCAAAATGTGGGTTGGTATTTATTTTTGGAAGATCTTTTGTGTTGATTTTATGTAGAAAACTAAATGGAGTAAACTCATTTTTTGTTTTGTTTGCACATTGCCTTTGATTAACCTGCCTCTTTGAGAGAATAGACTCTCTTTACATACACAATATGGCTAATTTCTAGTTAGCTTTATGTTACTTCTAGTTGAGCTGATTTGTAATACGGTATGGAATCATAGAAATATAGGGCTAGGAGGGACCTTGAGAGGTCATCCACTCCCGCCCTCTGTGCTGAGGCAGGACCAAGTTTACCTAGATCATGCCTGATAGGTGTTTGTCTAACGTATTTTTAAAAACCTCCAATGATGAGAATTCCATACCTCCCAAGGTAACCTAGTCTAGGGCTTAACTATCCTTTATATTTAGAAAGGTTTCATAGTATCTAACCTAAATCTCCCTTGCTGCAGATTAAATCCATTATTTCTTGTCCTACCTTCAGTGGACGAGAAGAACAATTGATCACTGTCCTTTGTATAACAGCCCCTAACATACTGGAAGACTGTTCTCAGGTCCCCCGTCAGTCTTCTTTTCTCAGGACTAACCTGCCCAGTTTTTTTGTTAATCTTTCCTTATAGGTCAGGTTTCTAAACCCTTTTCTTATTTTTGTTGCTCTCCTCTGGGCTGTCTCCAGTTTGTCTACATCTTTCTTAAGGTGTGGCACTTAGGATTGGACACAGTACTTGGAAGAGGCCTCACCAGTGCCAGATAGAATGGGACAATTACCTTACTTATCTTACATATGACACTCCTGTTAATAAACCCTGGTGTGATATTTGCCTGGTTAGTAACTGCATCACATTGTTGACTCATATTCAATAAGTGATCCACTACAGTCCCTACATCTTTTGCAGAAGTACTACTGTCTAGCCAGTTATTCCCCATTTTGTAGTTGTGCGTTTGATTTTTCCTTCCTAAGCATGGTACTTGGCACTTGCCTTTACTGAATTTCACCTTGTTGATATCAGATGAGTTCGGGAGGGATAGCTCGGTGGTTTGAGCATTGGCCTGCTAAACCCAGGGGGGCCAATCCTTGAGGGGGCCATTTGGGGCAAAAATTGGGGATTGGTCCTGCTTTGAGCAGAGGGTTGGACTAGATGACCTCCTGAGGTCCCTTCCAACCCTGATATTCTATGATTCTAAGGTTGTTTTGAATTCTTATCCTGTCCTTTGAAGTGCTTGCAACCCTGCCTAGTTTGGTGTCATTTGCAAATTTTATAAGCATACACTCCATTCCATTCTCCAAGTCATTAATGAAAATATTAAATAGTCCTGAACTCAGGACCCCACTAGCTATGTCCCTCCCACTTTGACAGCAAACTATTAATAACTACTCTTTAAATATGGTCTTTCGAACAGTTGTGTAACCTTCTAGTCGTTTCATTTAGATCACATTTCCCTAGTTTGCTTATGAGAATGTCATGTGGGACTGTGTCAAAAGCCTTACTAAAATCAAAATATATAATGTCTACTGCTTCCCCTTCCCCCATAAACTAGGTCAGTAACCCTGTCAGAGAAGGAAATTAGGTCTGGAAACTGGACAATTAAACTCAGATTCCCCGGTAGTACTCTTAAGTCCTTAGGCTCTAAAGGATTTGGCTCCAGTCAGATGTCTGGGTCTTGACTGAGGTGGCAAGGGAAAAAGTCTGCCTCCACTAGATTGGAGACAGCCCAATACTCAGTACCTAACACTGGTGCTGCAGAAAACCAAGTGGCCAGTCAGCTCCCGGTGCTCCTTGGAGTGAACAAAATCACTGACAAATCCATCTACTCAGACTACCATCTTGGTGCCGATGGCTCTACTAGTGCCCCATAAATTTAGATAAGTCAGAGACCTGAACGTGGTGGCGGGTCCGGATTCTCATCTGCTGGGCACCAACCCCCTATCAGTACCGAGACCCACCCAGTCCCTGGACTCTCACTTATCTCCAGTACCAACAGAGTCATCACCATTTTTTAGTGGTGCTCTATCGACGGCAGATAATGGGGATTTCTCTTCAGTCCTCCCAAATTGCCATCCATGGCTCTCCTATTCACTCTCTCTCTTAGGAACCTGCTTCTGGAACCCTAGGGGAGACGGAAGACAGCTGAGAGAGACATCCTGAAGCCCTGTCCCAGTGGCATGGATGTCCTTGTATGCCTCCTCCCATCCCATATGGTTCCCCTCAATGACTATATTGGGACCCTGGGTGGCGTACCACCAGCAATCCTCTAGAGCCTCTCATCTCGCTTGCCACATGATAACGGGTAGTGCGTGGGAGTCACCTGAAGTGGAGCACCCATAAAGACACTACTAGAAGAAGGAAGAGGTTTACTCACCCTGTGCACTAACCAGAGTTCTTTGAGACTGTCCCTATGGGTGCTCCACTGTCTGCCCTCCTGCCCCTCTGCTTCAGCATTTCCTTTATGGGTCTTTGCCGTGGTGAAGGAACTGAGGGATCCTGTGCCACTCCCCACACCCAGCTTCACCCAGAATTTACTGATGGCTGCTGAAAATTCAGCCTGTTGTTGTTTTTTCAAGACCTAACTTGGTTTTCTGTAGCAATATTTGGAAATACTGGTTATAGTTAAATAAACATTATATAAACAAATGTATAAACCACTCATATGGATTTGCCTATTTCAGGATTT